GAACAAAACACACTAAATGAATACAAAATGACACTTTCAATTAATAATGTCAAAAAGCACAAAAACAACAAAATTAAAGAATTATCAAAAAAGAGAATTTCTACTAACATTAATTCTTGATACAAAAAGAAAAAATACATTAAATCAATAAAATGAATAATACTCAACTGAATTTAAACATTAAAGGTTTAGATTAAAATATTTAGTATTAGGTTGAAGCAGTACATAACTTGGTTAAAAAAACAACACCACTATTTATTAATATAATATTACATAGAAGGAAATCATTAATTAAATAAGAAAATTAAACAAACTTTGTATTAAATGAAAAAATAAATTAAAATTATGAATGAATTAATGAAAATAAACCAAAATTCATTATGACATATGAATTGTATACATTAACAATAGAATATTGCAAATAAATTGATTAAAAATATCCTTTTATGAATAAATAATTAGATAGTATCACTTCAAACAATTAATTAGTAATCATATGAAGTGATTAATTAAATTAATTAACAATAATATCTTACAGATTTCATTTTCTATCTAAAAGAATTAAATAAAACACATTTATTAATTTAATTGAATTGAGCAGTATATAATAGAAATAACTATAAACAATAAAAGTAATTAGTTATTTGTATTTGAATGTTGTATACAATTTCAATATAACTACATTAATATAACCATCAATATTATTGACAAAATGGATAAAAATAATAAGAATAGATGGAAAATAGTTATTTAGAATAAACCCAAAACAAAAAATGTCAAATATTGTTCCAATACCAAGACAATAAAACACAATAATGTCTTTCAACTAATCAATTAGAATTTATGAAATATCACTAAACATAAATAACAAGAATATCTAGAAAAGTCTTAAGAATAAATTCAATAACATTACAACTCATAGTTTTATATAACCAATTTATAGAAACTTATCAAATTAATAATTATTTTATCTCAAAAATATAAATATAATAAACAAATATTGACTATTATGAAGAACAAACAGAATACAATACAAAATAATAAATGTATAATACGAAATAAGAATATCACCATTCATATATCTCAAAATCTATTAATTACAAAACAATTATCAATGATATAGAATATAATATTTTGATTTATTATGTTGAAAATAAACAGAAATTGCAAATATTAATTAAAATAAATCTAACTCTTCTTTTTTTTTATTTCAAATATTAATAACATGAAAGTATTATGTTCTTAACTAAATAACTAGTTACCATGAATGAAATGCTGTTTTATAACTTCTGAAGTTATTTAAATTCTTTTTTATAATTATTGTTATAAAATAAAAGTAATATCATAATACAATATTATAATTATTAAAATGTCATAGTCAATTTATAAAGAAAAAGTTGAATTAAGAGTATTAGAAATTATAATACTAATTTATATTATTGATAGTCCTTTCATTAGATAATATACTTCTTTATTTCATTTTTTTTACAATCACTTATGATAATTCATTTCGATTTTCAAATAAACTTTCTATTCATTTTTAATGACTAACTGTTTTATTTCAGAATATTCATTATATTAATGTTATATTATCTAAAACAACACTTCAAAAACATTTCATTTATTTTTAATTTGATCATACTCTTTGTGATTATTAACTATTTCAATTCATATCATTCTTAATATACAAACTTATCTATAATTTCTTTTTAAAGTATTTCATCATCTTTTAATCAGAAAAATATTAAATAATATTTTTAATGGTATTTTGAATATTTTAACTTATATTCTATTGTATAGTATTTATAATACAGTATATTTTAGATACTGAAAACATCATAACACAAATAGTTATATTTAACAAATGTTTATTTGATCAAAAATGATAAAAATTACTTATATAGTTGTTTAGAAATAGATTTGATCATTTTTTTAGTTATTTGAATATTCAATTGGAATACCATGTCATTATTATTTTTTATTTTATTTAATAAATATTGACATGACTTTTAATAGATATTCACAACTATGTCATTATAAAATTATTGAGTTCCTCATCACCAAAATATTTAATATCACTGAAACTATGTTTCACAACACCAATTAATAAATTTCAATTTACAACACACAAAAATAAACAATATGTTAAATAAAAAAAAATAAACAGATTTGTTGATTAAATCATTTGTATTTCTTTCATAAAACCAAAAAAAATAAGCTTCAAAATGAGATTTTATATTTTGGTAGAACCATATGATATGTTAATGGGTCTATTACTTTAAACTTTCAAAGGTCATAAAGGAAAAGTGATATCTAACTAGAGGTAACTTGAAATTTATTAACTATATTCATATGAAGTAATAAATGATTGATATTTTTTCTTAATAAAGCAAATTTAATTGTTAAAAATTTCCAAAAAAATGATAAACTCAATTAAAAAAACTTAGAAAAAGTGTTTTGAAAGACCCACTGAATAAATTAAAAAAAGTTTTAACAAACACAACCACCATCTGTGTCTTCTGTTTGTTGAGTTATTTTTACTTCTTCTTCTCCTGGATCAACAAAAATAGGTTTTAAATTGATGATAGAGCGAAGTAATTGTGAAAATGCTTCTTGAACATTTGTATTTCTATGAGTTAGAACGACAAAATATTTTGTTTATTAGAATGAATTCTCTTATAAAAGAAAAGAAGAGCAAACTCTTTACTACTTGTCTCTATATACTCTAATCCATTTTCACTGACAAAACGATCAATAGACTCTTTACTGACACGAGTTGAACTTCCAACTAAATCACATTTATTTCCAACAAGTAATACAGGTGGAGTAAATCCTGAACTAATACTACTGTAAAACAGATCTAACCAGTCTTTGCAATGGTCAAAACTCTCTTGTCTATCAATTTGAAAAACTAATAGCACTCCTTTAATGTCTTTGAAATACAATCTAACTAATGAATGATATTTTTCTTGTCCTGCAGTATCCCATAATTGTAATTGGTACATCTTACCATCAAGGTTTACTGATTTGTCACATGTCTCAATCCCAATTGTTGCATCATAATCTTCTGTATCTAAAAATTAGAAATAAAAAAGAGCTAATAACATTACGTTTAAATAACAAACATGTTCCAAAACAAAACCTTTGAATTAGAGCAGTTTTTCCAACGCCCACATCTCCGATTAATCCAATCTTCAATTTAGTTGTCATTATGTTATTATTTTTTAGTTTTTTAGAATTTTTTATTTTTTTATTTTTAATATTATTTTGTAATCTATAACATTAAAGAATTGTTTTCAATTGTTGTTTTGAACTTTAACATCTTTCATTTTCTTTGATTTTTATTCTTTCTTTATTTCTTGTTTCTAGTTTTTTTTTCAACGACTTCTTTATTTATTAGTTATCACTTACCTGTTGATATTGTGTACATAATGAACCATATATGTGGATGTAATATCGTTGGAAATAGATTTTTCATATAATGAATTGTAACATTGTTGCTGAAAATAATTTGTATCTAATGGCATAATAATAGAGAAGATAAAAAGTAGATAGTTGAGTGTTAATAAATTTATTTTTATTGTTAGTTGTTAGTTGTATGAGAGAAGAACTAATTTGTTTAAGAGTGGTTGTGAATGAATTATTTGTTTAATCTTTTGATGTTAAAAATTATGAATTTTTTATTCATTTTAGAATAAGTATTTCAAATATCATTAAAATTAAATATTCTTCTTTAAATTTCTCTTAATTTTTATGATGTATTAAATTTATTTATTCTCTTATTTTATATTATTTATATCTTTATCTTTATTTATTATCTTTACTTTCCTTTTTATCATCAACAATAACAATAAAATCAATTTTCATTTTAATACTTTTATTACAAATTATATCTTTATCATAACAAATTAATACTATCATCTTAATAAATAATCATTCTTTTATTACAAATAAATTCCATCAACATAAACAACAAACACAAATATTCATAAAATAATGAACAAGAAATCTCAAACTAAATTCAACAACATAAACATCTATAACTAAATAAACCAACTCATATTTATTTTATAATTCTTTCTTTTATCTCTCTTTTTTTTATAATATTTGAATTCATTCATTGAAATAAAATAAGAAAAAAGGGAATAATTCTATTTTGAAAAATTACTTTCTTTTTAATAAGACATTCATAAATAATATTTTCACCTTCCTCTCTAATTGTTAAGTGGAAAAACAAAGAAAGAAATCGTTCAATTATGAATAAATATACAAAAGAAATAATTATTTGATATTTTTATTGAACAATTTATCAGTAAGAAATCTTGTTGTTTTCATATCCTTTCTTTTAGGATTTGGAAGGTCAATTGGTGGTAACTCTCCTTTTTCAATCATTTTATCAGCCTCTTCATTCTCTTTAAGAGTTCGACTACTTTTTGAACGTAGATTATTCGTACCCACTTCAGCTACATTTTCAGTTATTGTTTTAGAGCTTTGTTTTATGGCCTCTTGTTCTTCTTCAGTAAAAGATAAATTGATAAGGTTTTGAGCAATTGGTGAAACTAAGCACTTCTTTACTGGAATAGGTGGTCTAACTGAATCATGTAATTCTTCAAAACTTCTCATTAATAATCTACACTGTTTTGGTATAATTCTTGGAGTTTTGCCTTCTTTTGTTTTGATGTTATCTAAGTTATATTGTGTTGTCATGAAACGCCCTTTAAGTTTGTTCGGGATTCAACCAAATCTAATAATTTTTTTTCACTTTTTTATAGTTTTAATTTTATTTTCTTTTTATCCTTTCATTTTGTTTTTTATAACAAAAAAATAAAACTATAATTCTATTAAACAATAATGTCTATTCTTTTTGTAAAGTGAATCCCATCACCTGTTGGAGGCGTGGGTAAAAACCAATCATACCACTTAGGTCCCATAGTTTCGATGAAATTTTGTTTTATTGAATGAGAATATAATGAACGTGTTTCTTTAGTTGAACCATTTTTTCTTAATTGGCTAAGTTCAATTGTTTCTTGACCAGTTGTATTTATTAACACTTGGTACGTGTGAACAATTCCTAACCCGCCAATAGAAATGGCTAGTGCAAATTCTAATATACCACATCCTAAACGTAGTACATTTCTATAATCATCAAAGAATTCCAATGTTTGATGATTTTGTTGAAGAAGAGAATAAGAATTATATAATCCATAACAATGCCATATAAAACCTAATATTAAAATAAATGGGGCATACCATAAGAATTGAATGAAATATTTATGATTTTTAAATCCAACACATTGCCCAATCCATGGACAATGATGATCTCTTTTTAATATACATTTGTCACATGTCTTACAATGGTATGATCTCGGTGGTCTATATTCTTGACATTCTCCACAATATTGAGCTGGATATAACATATCTATTAATTTTTGTTGTTTCATTTGTGATATTCGATATCGTTCTTTTGCGTATTTAAGTTGAATTTCAGGAAGATTTGGTAACCATCCATTTGGTGTTGTTCCTGGTGAAGTGAAAACTACTTTATAATATGAAATGCACATTAGTGAATAGAAACAAAAACAAAATAAAAAATATGCCATTTTTATTATAGTTAATGGAGAATGACATATTTCTAAAATTAATGTTTCTAGTCCTAAGAAAATCATAAGAAATACTGCTATCGATGGGAAAACAATTGATTGTATTATTGTTGAACGTTTCATTTCAATAACACAATTTATTCTTTCAAGTTCTTTTCTCTATTTTTTTAAAAAAAACATAATATAAATAACATAAAAAATTAAAATAAAGGAAACTCTTCAAACAGACTTTTATATTATATTAAAAGAAAATGAAAGAATATAGCCAGTCTCTTATTATTCAAATAAATAGTTATTACACTCTTATTTAATAACATAACATCCTCACCATTTATTGTTTTATAATAATAAACAATATTATAACTATTACTCTTTTATTAACTTTATTACTATATTAAATGGTATTGTAATTTATAATTCTATACCATAGAATCTTTACAAATGACTTAATAATTTATCTGATTAAATTGTTAGTTACTACAATCATTCTTATTTTTGAATTGGTTCAAAAATTATCGAAATTCATAAAGTAATAAAAGAAAATTTAATAAGTTTTATATGAATGAATAGTTAGCATAGTCTTTACTATCATTAAAAAAGAAGACTTAGATAGATGTTTTTATTGTTTTGATAAAAATTTTATTAGTATATAAAATGAAATATAGCATACTAAAATTAAACAACGTTGATTATCTGATTACTAACAATTAAGAAATGAATACATAACAAACAATATATAGAAAGAGTTGAATAAGATTTATTAAAGAAGCAAAATTGAATTTATAAAGAGTCAATTCAAAAATAGAAATTTTCTTTAACAAAAAAAAAGAATAATTGAATAAAAAAGAAAAGAGAAAAACAAAAAATGAAAGAAGAAAAACTAAAAAATGGAAATATGAATAATTTAGTGAATTATATTTCAGAAGATCAATTAGTTAAAGAAATAGGACTTGATGAATGTATGAATCGATTAAATTTAAAGAATAATATTTTAATGACAAAAACAGAGTGTTTAGTTTCATTAAACGATTTTGAAAATATATTAGAAAATGTATTAGAAAAAGAGAAAAAGAGTATAGTATTAAATGATAAAAAAGTAGAAGGAGTTGAACAAAAGAAACAAACAGAAAAAGAGATTGATCTTTTGTTTCGAGTTCAACCAATTCCAAGATTACCAAATCCAAGAAGAGTTAAAACAGGAATTCAATTTAAAACGTATTTCATTCATTTTACTGGAGATTTTGTAATACCAAAATATTCATTTTCATCATCTCCTAATACAAGTATTGAACAATTTATTAAATTAACAATTAGTAAAGTAAATAAACAATTAGAAGAAGAGAATCCAAATAATTTATTTTTAAGAGAGACATTTGAATCATATTTATTAAGAATTAGTGACGAAAATGGAATAGCAGATGATGACCTTCCACCACTTGAATACTCATCTAAAATAGGAGAAATGGGAAGTTCACATTTTGTGCTTGTAGACAATCCTGATTATTTTGATAAAGTAAAGAAACACCGTAGAGTTTTAAATAATAGTAATAATGGAATGTCTGCTTTTCTTAATACAAAAAATGCAAAAGTATTTTTTAAAATAAAAAAAATGGAAGGAAGTACAGCAAGATATGGATATAAAGATAATACAACTGTTGAAGAATTTTTAAATAGTGTTATTGATGAAAGAAATAAAAAATATAATCTTAGTGGTACTGAATTCGAATTGTCTAAAGATTTAAATAATTACGAATTTAAAATGGCTGATGAAAATGGTGTTCCCGATGATGATTTTGGTGTTATTTTAAATTCTAATATTAGTACTTATGGAGATAGTTTTGTTTTAATTGGAAAAGGAAGGTATCAAAGTAGTTCAGACTCTTCTACTAAACAAACAATTACCGTTGTTCCTCATACCAAAGATATTTCTAAAGAACGTGAAATTAAAAAAGAACAAAGAACATCTATTAACAATAAATCTAGTTTATTTAAAAGAAAAAAAGATGATGAAATTATAACTAAACCTCAATTATCTCCAAGACAAAATAAAGGTAAAACTATTATAGCTTCACCTAGAAAAAAACTTGGTAAAATTTATACTGTTTTTTATCAAACAATTCAACTTAAAATTGAGTATGATGAAACTGGAACTGTTGGTGGATTTATTGATGAGGTATTAATTTATGCATTTAGAAATGGAATTAAATTAAATGGTAAAAATGCTAATGACTTCTCGATTTATATTGCTGAACCAAATGGAGAATGTGATCGAGATTTTGAAATAAATAAGGAAAGTCAAATCAAAGATATGTGTTCATTGTTCTTTGGTTTATATCCTAAACAATAAAATATTATTCTTGTTTTTTTTTTGTTATTTTTTTTTTATAATTTCTTTTATTTATTTTCTTAAAAATAATATTTCATTAATTCCATAATTTTATTTTTAATTTTTATTATTTAATAAAAGAAAGATATTTTATTAAATAATACCAATGATGATTACATTAAACCATCTTTCGTCTGAAAAACTGATGTCAAATATGTCTTAATCTGAGGAATATCTTTTTGATATTAATTAAAAATAACTATATGAAGAACACAAAATAAAACTAAGAAATATAAAATAAATTAATAATTTATGAATGAAATTGAAAGGAAATTAAAAAAAGAAATAGAACATATGAAACTCCTTTTTGATTCTGATTATTTATCATATGAAATAAAGTATATAATTCCATGTTTACAATATAGGAAAGATATTGTTATTATACTCTTTGTTAATTCAAATGTTATTTTGGGGTTATATTATAAAACTATTATATTTTTTAATGAATATGAACAAATAAGATCTCCAATAAAGTTTTGTATGAAAGACAATGACTTAAAAATTATTGATTCATCACTACCTTGTACTCCAGTAATTCCATCTAATTATAAGGCAATAAGTCCATATAAATTAATTTTAAGAAATGGATTATATTTATGTGAAGATCTAAATGATTATGGGAATACCTGTAATAGTTCTCTTGGAGAGGCTATTCAAGATATAGGAGTTGATTTTGAATATTTTCCAGATTTCCAAGTTCATAGACTAATAATTGGTCAATTAAATAAATGAAAGATTTATATAACGTTTTATTTTATTGATAGAGTCTG